AGAGATGAATCAATACGGACAACTTTCTCGATACAAAAAAAAAAAAGAAACCATGGCAACATTATTATTATTATTATTAATATGGGGTGTGGGAGGTGCGGGTGGGCGGACAGGAAGATGAGCCTCGCCGCCGCATTTATTATAGACTGTAACGGGGCAAGTTGGGAGCACGTAAGACCACTGAGTAGCGGATTACAGTAATCAAGGCGAGAGAGGACCGCGGCATGGACTAGTACCTTAGCCGTATCAGGCGTTAAATAGGGTCGGATGTTCGTTATGTTTTTGAGATGGAAGTGTCAGAATAGTAGCGCCATTGACTTGGAGGGAAACAGACAAGGGAGTAACAACACTTGAGGGAGGGAAGATCCGAAGTTCTGTTTTGGACAAGTTCAGTTTAGGGAAATGAGCAGCCATCCAGTTAGAAATAGCAGAGAAGCAGTCAGAGACACTAGTCAAGAGGGGTGGTAAGAAATCAGGGAAGGACAGATAAATATGCATTTCATCCGGGTAGAAATGATACTGGAAGCAGAAGGAGCTGATGAGTTTACATGTGCTACAGTTGCAGTGTTCAGATGTTCCATTTCCTAGAATCCTTTCAGGGTCTCCACAAAAAGTTGGCTGCGCCAGTACTAAGTATTGTAAAAAAAGATAAAATAATTCATAATTAGCTATTTTTACTTATATGTTTTTTTGTTTGATAATGCAATTACGTACCATGCTATTATAGGTAATCTTGATTGTTCTTTGGTCAAAGTGTGCAATCATAACTTTTATGCATGTGTGTGGGCATCAGGCTATTATATTTCTCCTTGTATATAGGAGTCCCCTTGATTTTTTTTCTTCTGTGTCCGTCTCCTCTCCGCACGTTGAATGGGCTAGGAGGAGAATATCACAGTTACATTATTCAGTTATTATAATAGTGGTCCCATAGAGAACCCATGAGGTGTTTATACATTTATTTTAAATACCAATCTATTTCTTCAAGTGTTCTGTTAAAAGACAAAAATGCATGTAGTCTGAAATGCAAGAATCTGCCCCTGATTGTCCAATTTGCATGGAATTTTACTTTTTTTAAAAATTCTTTATTTATGTTGACAAAGATAGCATATACAGCTCGAGAGCATTTCGTAGTTTGCGAGGAGCATCGTCCGTTGAATTTCCTAACTTGTGGACCCAAAAACCTGCCAGGTGTTTTAACTCAAGGGGCTATCTTCCCATGGAGACCATATTTTCTGGAACCGTTTTTGAGTTCCCCTAACTCTTGCTGTCAGGTCGTCCATCAGGTGAACTTCCCTAATTCTATTAATGACTCCTGCCATCGGTGGGGTGGTTTGTTTTAGCCAGTCTGCTGCCACTGCTCTCCTGGCTGCTAAAGTTATGTTGTGTATAATTTTTTGTTCGTGTCTAGTCCACCCATCTATCGTTCTGCTGAGCAAATATACCCATGGGTCTAGGGGGGAGCCCTGTTCAGCACCTGGGCTAGCAGATCTTTAATTTGTTGCCAAAAACTTGCTATCAGGGGGCATTCCCACCACATGTGAATATACGTCCCTTTAATTCCGCACCCTCTCCAACATACGTCAGTAGTGCTCTTTTTCATTTGATACGGTTTTACAGGAGTCGTGTACCAGCGGAGCATCACCTTGATCGCTTGCTCCTGGAACGCTACGCAAACAGAGAATTTATGGTTGACTTCCCAAATCTCCTGCCACTCTATCCCTTCCAGCTGCTCCCCTAGGTCCCTCTCCCAATGTTCCGTGTACGCCAATTCTCCCCCTTCGTTAGTTACTGAGCAGAGGTGGGCGTACAGCCGAGTTATCAGGCCCCTAGGCATATGGTCCTGAATGCAAATTTGTTCGAAGAATGTCATGGGCTTTAGGGCCGCCCCTCGGACCCATGTCAGTTTTGCAAAATCTTTTATTTGTAGGTACCTGAAAAAGTCTGCGGGAGTGAGATGACCCCTTTGTTGTAAGGCGTCAAATGTCACTACTTCCGCATCCTGCACCAGCTGATGTATGCGCTGCAGACCTATTCTCTCTAGGTTCCTAAAGTTGCGCACTGCCAGGAATTTTACTTTTTTTAAACTGACACCATATTGCCCCCATTCCAGGTAATTTTACAAAATGAGGGCAGTTCTGTGCTGAATTGCCTTTAATAAATAACCTTGTTGTTGTATCACCATTTCACCTTTAAGATTTGTCTTCAGAGTATAGTAAACCTTTAAATTGCAGTGAAAAGATATCTATTTTAAATTTTATTGTTCATTGATCCAGAAATATAAACAGTGAACTTATTAGTCACATGTTTCAGCGTATCACAGATAATTTATTCGTACAAACACTGTACAGAATGTACACTTGGATTCAGGGCCGGCCTTAGGCAATTAGGCGCCCTGTGCAAAAAGTCTTCACGGCGCCCCCCCCACCTCCCACCAAGTTGCCTGAATACAGTAACACACACAGGCACCGGGGACGTGTGTATCACGAGGCAAACAAGGCATCTGCCTTGGGCGCCACTTTGCAGGGGGCGGCAAAAAAAAGCATCCCTCCAAACCCCAGGCAGATCCCTTGCTTGCCTCGCATCCTGGGGGGCTCAAGAGCTGACCGGCTGGCCACTTTTGAGCCCCCCCAAGGCTGGCAGCGGGCAGCGAAGGAGCATACTCACCTGAGCTCTTCCTGCTCAGCTTCCTCTGCGCCGCTTAATGAAGCCGGGAGCCAGAATATGATGTCAGTCCGGCTCCCGGCATCACTAAGCGCTGCTTACTCAGCCTGTGCGCCCCCTGCCTGCCTGCCCAGCAGCCACACTGGACTGCTGGTAAGAAATCCACTCCAGCTTTCCCAGGGAGGCTGGGTGGATTTAAAATAAATGTAAAAAATATTAGTTTGTGAGTGTTAGTGGAAATGTCTGTGTGTGTGTCTGTGAGTGTTTATTTTGAAGTGAATGTGTGTGTGTAATTGTGTGTGTCTGTAAGTGAATGTGTGTGTGTCTGTGAGTGAATGTGTGTGTTGGTCAGTGAGTGTATATGTGTCAGTCAGTGAGTGTGTATGTGTCAGTCAGTGAGTGTGTATGTGTCGTCAGTGAGTGTGTATGTGTCGTCAGTGAGTGTGTGTCGGTCAGTGTGTGGTCAGTGAGTGTGTAAGTCAGTGAGTGTGTAAGTCAGTGAGTGTGTGTGTGTCGGTCAGTGAGTGTGTGTCGGTCAGTGAGTGTGTGTCAGTCAGTGTGTATGTGTCGGTCAGTGGAGTCGTGCATCTTTCAGTGAGTGCTTGCGTCTGTCAGTGAGAGTGTGCATCTGTCAGTGTGTGTCCAAGTAATAGTGTATGTGTGTATGTCATTGTTTGTCAGTGTATATGAGAGTGTGTGTCTGTCAGTGAGTGTGCGTCTGTCAGTGAGTGAGCGTCTGTCAGTCAAAGTGCGGCCTTGACAGGAAGGGGTGGGGAAATTTAAACTCGGTTACAGGCATGTACACACACACTCAGTTAAAGGCAGTCACACATACAGGCACAGGCACAAACAATGGCACAGCTACAGCGACACACACAGACAGACAGTCACATAGGCAGTCACACACACAGACAGACACACAGTAACACACACATAGACAGTTATACACACACAGGCAGGCAGTCACACAGATAGAAAGTCACACACACAGGCAGGCAGTCACACACAGACAGATAGTTACAGACAGACACACACAGGCAGGCAGTCACATACAGGCAGTCACACACACAGGCAGTCACACACACAGACAGACAGTCACACACACAGACAGTCACACACAGAGCAGTCACACACAGAGACAGTCACACACAGAGACAGTCACACACACACACAGAGACAGACAGTCACACACACACACACACACAAGGACAGGCAGTCACACACACACACACACACACAGACAGTCACACGCACACAGGCAGGCAGTCACACAGACAGTCACACACACACACAGACAGTCACACAAACAGGCAAACAGTCACACACACACACTTACCTCTTTCCAGTGGATGCAGTTGGCTGATGGGGAAGCATCTTTCCCTCTTCCTGTACAGCAGGGGCTTCGGGAGGTATTAGCCCCGTCTCCGCCTCTCGATAAGCCCCGCCTCCGCCGCTCGGTAAACCCCGCCCCCTCTGCCGCGATTTTTTTTTTTTTTTTAAATAGACCCGGGTGGAGAATAATTAATCCTCCAGCCAGGTACCTCTTTTAGCTCCCCTGCACTCCGGCCATGAGTGAGCTGTGTCGGCCACAGGGCGCCCCCTGTTCCATGGCGCCCTGTGCGGTCGCACAGCTCGCACACCCCTAAGGCCGGCCCTGCTTGGATTGAACTGATATTGTAGAGACTTGTACACTGAGCTCATTTATTTTAAGAAACAAAGACACACAAAGAGAAATAACATTCCAGGTACCAACTGCATGTAATTTAACCCTTTCAGACAAGACTGCAGATGCAAAATATTGGTGGTTTGTAGTATCTTTTAGTACACATTATATCAGAACAAAAAGATTTTACTTGCTCTCTTTAATAATGTTTTAGAATTGATAAAGGAAGGGATTACCAACCTTTCTGTGTAGCACAAAGACTATATGAAAATATGGGAAATTTAGAGAATTTTTCAGATTCATCTATTTCATCCATAAATTCGAAATCACTTTGAATTCACTTTGCATCTGCGGAGTACATTGTTATATACACGGGTACAGAAACATATAGTAAACATCATAAAATTTAATATGGATCCACATGTAATTTTTTATTTATTTATTTATTTTTAAATGCGCATGATAAATATAGTTGCAGAATAATATTTAAAGGAACACTATAGGGTCAGGAACACAAACATGTATTCCTGACCCTATAGTGTTAAAACCACCATCTAGCTCTCTTGCCTCCCTAAATATAGTAAAATGTTTCTTGTATTCAAGTCTCCAGCTGCTGGCTCTGCCCCTGTCTGCCTCTGAACTGCCTTTGACCTCTGAGATCATCAGAAGTGGTGGTCTGAGCCAATGACAATGCTTCCCAGTAGGACTGGCTGAGACTGTCATGGAGGCAGATCGGGGCAGAGCCAGCACAAGTCAAACATAGCCCTGGCCAATCAGCATCTCCTCATATGCATCTCATATGAGGAAAGTTCAGTGTCTACATGCCGAGGGTGGAAACACTGAATGGTAGTGCTGCGCATTAGGCAGGAGTGCCCAAGGAAGCACCTCTAGTGACCATCTGAGGAGTGGCCAGTGGAGTTATCACTAGGCTGTAATTTAAACACTGCATTTTATCTGAAAAAACAGTATTTACAGTAAAAAGCCCTAAGGGAATGATTCAACTCAAAAGAATAACTGGAATAGGCTGTAGTTGTTCTGGTGATTATAGTGTCCATTTAAAAATCCCTTTTTAGGTGTAAAACAAGTCTGAGAATGTATTAAAATCTAGTAGAAAGATATCATTGCCTTAACATTTTGACAAGCATCATGTGGAATAAAAATTTTCAGACATAATCTTCAAAACCTACCCCATCAGTTTCCTAGTCAGTCACGCTACCAAACTTTATTATTCCATTTGTTTGTGCCAAGAACTGTCAGAATAGCAGTCATTGCTTTCAGTTTGCCAGTGGGAATTATGGATGTGTAGTATCATTCATGTTTATAATTCCAAATAAAGAAATGAGCCTTAAACCATATTGATACGGATTACCACAACTGCCGATTTTTGAGAAAGTGATGCTTGAAAACAGAAGAAAGCGTGACAACATTCTAAAAGTGATGCAGCTATGTAGTATTATAAATTTTATACCACTAGGTATATTCTAAAAGTTATGGCGCTATTTAATTTTCTAAAAGTTATGCTACTATGTAATATTCTAAAAGTTATGTCGCTACCCCTGAAGTAAGCTATTGGCAGAAGCCATTGGTTTCCATGGTATTTGCTCCACTTTACTGTTTAACTGCTAAATTTTACTAAGTCTCCCACTAATTATGTCAGCTTTGGTGAGATAGTTGCTGCTAACGAAGACCAGTCAAGGTGTTTGGCATCTACATAAATGGGTCTCCAACTGATGAAATATGATGAAATATGTAAAATATAATTTGGTAATGTTAGCATTTTGTAAAATAGTTTTGGAGGTTTTTCATATATTTGTAAAGGAGCACTACACTCGCTGTGGTGGTTATAGTGCCTTGAGTGCTATTCGTGCCATCCCAGTGTAATTTGTTAAACCATTTTAGAATACTTGTACAATTTACCTGGGATGCATTGCTCCATTTCCCTGTTGGTTTGACAACTTACCTGAGCCACCACTCATCTCCTGCAGGAGAGACGGAAGCTCTCTGCATTGAACTAAGTCTAGCGGTGCAGCTGATACTGTCAGTCATAGAGCTGGACCTTCATGGCAAAGCTTAGCTCAGGAGAGCTAATGGAAGCTCGATGCAGAGGCTTCCAGCATTCAATGTAGGAAGTGACCAGTGCTCAGCAGACCCCAGGAAAATTGTCAAACCATTAGAAAACTGTTTGATTATTTATACTGCGGGTTAGGAGGTGTAGGGCATTCATTGCACATAACTGCCACAGCGTGGTGCTTGGACTGTTCCTTTAATGACAGAAGCTCTTTATTCACATTTATAAATAGCCAAATGTCATAACTTTACCACTGCCATGGGGAAATTTCATTTTTTCAATACGATATACTATGTGATGGTGTGTTATAAAATAATAATATTAAATTTTGTTTAAAAAAAATAAATAGGCATACATCTAACCTACCTGCAAAAAGTACAAATGCAACAGCTAAACGGATGATTAAGTTGGGATATGCTTTGTTGTCATGAAGTTCTACAGAAAATCATAGCATGTAAGAGTTTAGACCACTAAAGAGGGTTTCTCTGACATTTTTTCACTTTTCACATTTACCATAAGAAGATCCCTTCCCAAGTCCATGCATCTCAATTAAAACCTTATTAGACATGTACAACTTGGATTTACAGATATGGTACAACATGTAACAGAGAGCACAAACAAATGTCTTTATAATTCGCAGAGTGCTCTATAGAGTTGGACATATCTTACTGTATGTTTGTGTGACAGAATAAAATTGTCATCATATGGAAAATAACAAATGAGCTACACCCTGCCCTCTATTTCCTTCAGGATATCCTTTCAGGTCATTTGCATCGTCACACACTTGTCCAGTGTGCATGTTCCTCATGTGATGATGGACAGGAAATGGATGTGAAAAGAAGAGTATTCTGGGAGGAGGCCAAAGATGGAACAGAGATAACCTTCCTATGTTATTTAATTCTTTGCAGTGAGCATCAATTAATCTCAATAGGTGTATGACTACAAAGGAAATGAAAAAAAAAAAATATTTCAGCAAAAACGATATCTGTTATACTAAAGCAAATTGTCTGTGTTTGTTCTTACAGTCCCAGGCTGCAGATGCATTATCTCGAAGTAGCTTTTGGCTTCAAACCATTTTCAACATGTTTGAAAGCATGCTCAAACTGTGAAACTAACCCACCGTAATGTATTTGAAAGAAGGATCAAGTCTACCATGCACATTGTCATCATAATGTTGTTCAAACATGTTTTTGGAAAATATTGTATAATTTTTATAAAAATTTCACTGGGGAAGAAAAATTCAGCCTGGAATGTTGCTTCCATGAGAAAATCACAATATCAAAATTTCCACTGATGTGCTGCACAAAAGAGCATCTCAGACACTATTTCTGACAGGACCCCCACACCAAAATCTGGCCCATCCCTACAGGCAGCAGATGATTGGGAGAGTCCACATCCCATCTAACTCCGAATTGTACCTATACTTGGTGTATCAAGGCAATAATATTGATGTTGTTCATTTTTGCGGTAGCATCAGTGCGCAGCTTCTAATTACATTGGTTCTATGCATGTCAGTAATTGTAATCCTCCTAAATTTATCACATATTGAACCTTTATAAAATGAGAAACCAATCGAATTACAGCAGATTGTAATAATCATCTGTTATATTTAATGTCATTGCTACACCTATGTATTACTTTGCTTTGTATTCTGTAATGCAGATTAATTAATGATTGAAATTTAATAAAAAGAAGGAAAAAAAGAGCATCAGTAAACAATGAGATACAAAGTCACAAATGATTCCATGGAGGATAAAATATATTTATATAAAATCTGATAACTTATCTATTAACCACCAGGGATACGTGATAAGTAAGTTCCTAGTCTGTCTTTGTAAACTAAGAAGCTAGTCACTAGAGTGGGAGTTTTGGAGAATTGAAAAAGGGAAATAGCAAATTTCAAATTAAAGCTAATGCAAACCTGGATGGTAGAGTGATACAGGGGTCAAGTCCTGGGGAATAAAGTGTGGGAACTCACCCAAGTTCCACCCCCTCCCCCCAAAAAAAATAATACACTATATGCATATGTAAATGCCTGCACACACACACTGACAGGTGCACACACACACACATACACTCACACAACTGACACAGACACACACACATTCACTCACAGACACATACAGACACACACTCACAGACACAAACACAAATTATTCATACTTTTTTAAATGTAAAAATGTCCATCCTACCTGGAGACCTGGCGTGGACCTGTCCCTGGGGTCCAGTGGGGCTTCAGTGCGGCGGGCGCCTGTCTCCATATCAGACGCGGCTAGGGAGCTGTGTTCTCTCTGCTCCCTCTCGCCGTGTGGGCTGTCTACTGATGCTGGGAGCCAGAATATGACGTCATATTCCGGCTCCCGGCATCAGCAAACGGCGCGCGGCGAGAGGGAGCAGAGAGAACACAGCTCCCTCGCCGTGTCTGACATGGAGACAGGTGCCCGCCGGGGGGGTCCATCAGGTGGCCATTAGGGGGGCATTTGGGGGTGGCATTTTTTGCGGGCCCCTGAGTGCCTGCAGGACCACAAACGGGAACGGCGTTCCTGCTCTAAAAAAAGTGCAGCAACGCCGTTCCCACACGTTCCTGCAGGACTCAAGCCCTGCAGGACTCAAGCCCTGCAGGACTCAAGCCCTGCAGTGATATAATACCTCCCTGGGAGACCCAGGGTAGGGAGAGGAAACAGAATAAATAGGATATGCAGATAAAGTGCAATACAGAGGATAAGACAAATAAAATGCAATGAGCAAAATCTAAAAATCAATAGATAAACCAAATCTCCCACTACAACTGGTAAGATGTATGAAGTCCCCACCCGAGGCTAAAGAAATATGGATAAAATAGCAAAGAGCTTATGAAGCAACCAGGAATAGGAGATATGTGGTATAATAGAATACTGACAGTTTAGAAGGAAAAAAGGGGAAGATCCACTAAAAGTCTGTATGTACAAAGTGCTATAGTGATTTAACAAATCATAAAAATTACTGAATAGTAACAAAAAAGGATTTGCAGTAGTTAGCCACAGTATCAAAATGTCCCAAGTTCTCCACTCTTCATGAGAGAGTCTACATAAAAACATAGAAACATAGAATGTGACGGCAGATAAGAACCATTTGGCCCATCTAGTCTGCCCAATATTTTGAAATACTTTTAATTAGTCCCTGGCCTTATCTTATAGTTAGGATAGCCTTATGCCTATCCCACGCATGCTTAAACTCCCTCACTGTGTTAACCTCTACCACTTCAGCATCCATGCATCCACTACCCTCCATGCATCCACTACCCTCCATGCATCCACTACCCTCTCAGTAAAGTAATTCTTCCTGATATTCTTTTAAAACCTTTGCCCCTCTAATTTAAGATTATGTCCTCTTGTTGTGGTAGCTTTTCTTCTTTTAAATATAGTCTCCTCCTTTACTGTGTTGATTCACTTTATATATTTAAATGTTTCTATCATATCCCCCCTGTCTCGTCTTTCCTCCAAGCTATACATGTTAAGATCCTTTAACCTTTCCTGGTAAGTTTTATCCCGCAATCCATGAACCAGTTTAGTAGCCCTTCTCTGAACCCTCTCTAAGGTATCAATATCCTTCTGAAGATACGGTCTCCAGTACTGTGTACAATACTCCAAGTGAGGTCTCACCAGTGTTCTGTACAATGGCATGAGCACTTTCCTCTTACTACTGCTAATACCTCTCCCTATACAACCAAGCATTCTGCTAGCATTTCCTGCTGCTCTATTACATTGTCTGCTTACCTTTAAGTCATCTGAAATAATTAAAATAAATAAGGACCCATGCCTTTTTATGTAGTGAAAGTTCCACAGTTCCTGCTTTAAAATGGCTTCACATATTTACA